CGGACCTGCAGACAAACCCTGCTCCGTTTATCCACCACACCCCAACCCTAAATGGCACTAAATCTCTGAGAAAGTTGCGGATTTCGTCCGTATCTTCAGTAGTAGTAGCAGCAAGCTCACATTGCAAGTGTCTGGATAGCGCAACAAGCAGCAGTCACTGCATTTGCAGATTGAAGCCTTAGCCGATCGAATGGTCGAGCATGGTCCATCTTTCAACCTTGTTCTGGCTCCTGTGCATCATCTGTGCAGGACTGGGTGAAGTCTGCCACACCGTGCTGTTGTGTCCTCGTTTCAAGCCCTGCGCACAGGATGTGCCGAACATCGACGATGTCAATGGAAGGTCAGTCGGGCTGATACTGTAATGTGAGCTGGAGTATGCACACCTTCTGGGAGGATGTTCGTTACGACATCAGCGAGTGCCACACGGGCAAGTCAGGAGGTGGCCTTATTCGGGAGGCCTTCGCTTACGTGGAGCCAGGCATCGGTGCTTTGGAGAAAGGAGTTGCGAGGCTTTGGTCCCGGACAAGTTGTTGTCCACGCGCTTGTTCATGCATCTGTTTGGATGTACTTGCTGCAGGTGGCTATGCTGTCATGCCAAGTGCTTGATCTAGTCAACTTTGCTGCTGAAGTTTGGTTGACACGTCGAGACTGAGAGCCAAGCGGGGTGTGCAAAATGCAGTTGGTTGGGTGAATTCGGATGTCGAAGTTGTGGTCCTGGCAGGCATTTGCAATGCCAGCTCATCGAACAGCATTCTTCCTCGACCGAAAGTCGACCTCCCTTGCGATGAGCCATGTGATGAAGATCATTACCTCAAGGTGCAACAGCTTTAGCTATAGATCCTTTGCGTCGCTGTGTTGTTACACAGCGGTGAGATGTCTGGAACATGTCTGCTTGAATATGTCTTCCGGTTGCTGATCCGAGGTGACAGCTGTCTACAAGCAAGGAAACTAGCTTGCAACAGCCTTGGCGTGTGATTCATCGGTATTAATGTCGAAACGGGTCGAAGCAGCGATATTGGAATGCCACCAAATTTCGGCACACCCGATCCCTGTCACAGTTGACACGTCCCAGACCACACGACGAAAGGGTTGAACAACAGCAAGGGAGCAACCACAGACTAAATACATTGCTTGGGGCCGCAGTGTAGGAACGGACGGCATTAAGAGTTTTGAAGTTTACATTGTTGAGCACGATTCGGAAGTGAGTGCAGCTGCAAGCCATTTCTGTTTACTTCATACACTTGTGTTGCTCCATTATGTCACGCGTGATGTGATCTCAACCTCGTTTCACATTGCTGTGGTCTAATATGTGTCAGTGCCTGACTTCAGTTCTTCTTGCTATCCGCAGTGCGCATATTAATTCTATATTATATCCCTCTAAGTATATTCGGTTATATGATATTGTGTGATATCATATGATATTATTATCTGGTATGATATGGCATGATATGGTGTTATTCGATGTTATATGACATTATATGATATGATATGGTATTA